GGTATTATCTTCATTGGTATTTCCCCACCTTTCTGGTTTGAAATATTTGGAAATACATTGTTGGATCAAAACAAAGGACTTAATAGCTGAGTTCCTTAGCCAAGAACTGATTTTCCATTGTTTTGTCTTGCAACACAGCTGTTTTGCAAAGAATGGTACTTTCACAGAAAAGTCTTTGCTGCTGAACCATGGCAAGCTTTTCAAACCTGGCCTCCTACATCAGAGGGGCTGCTTTTTGTAAAGCCATCCCGTACTTTGCAAACTGTGATCAAAGGCTGGGCACTTTGCAACTTGAGATAACTGCTGCCAAGTTTGAAATCTAAGATCTGAAAAGTAGGTTTTGTAGCTGATACCTTGCTCTAAAATCCCAATTACATAACATGTTATAAAAGTGATGCAATACAAATGTCTTTATTAATTTCTAGGGATAGGCCTGTATGAGTGTGAAAGCTGGACAATGAAGAAAGAAGACAGCAATAGTGATCAATGCATTTGAAATATGACGTTGTAAGGGAGTTGTACAGATACCACTAAAAAGACAAATGTATGGATTGTAAAGTACAGCTGGCTCCAATTCTCCCTTGAGGCCCAGATGACTAAAAGGAGGCTGTTGTATATGACTCAATGGAAAAGACTGGGAAAGAGGAAGGCAGTAGGAAAAGAGAAAGATGACTCAATCAAGGGAAGGCCTGGAAGAGATCATAAAGGGTTGGTGTAGGGTTTTTTTGGGCTATATGGCCATGTTCTAGAGGCATTCTCTCCTGACGTTTTGCCTGCATCTGTGGCAAGCATTCTCAGAGGTAGCTTGCCACAGATGCAGGCGAAACGTCAGGAGAGAATGCCTCTAGAACATGGCCATATAGTCCGAAAAAACCTACAACAACTGGGTTTACCTATGCCTGATCTAGTCCAATCCCCTGCCATACAGAAACACATAATCAAAGCACTTCTGACAGATGGCCATCCAGTCTCAACTCAAAAACCTTCAGAGAAGGAGTGTCCACCACACTCTGGGGCAGAGAGTTCCACTCTTGAACAGCTCTTGCCATCAGGTAGTTCTTCCTTATGTTGAGGTGGAATCTCCATTCCTGTAGTTTGAACCCATTGCTCTGTGTCCTAGGGCCCCAGGGGCGGCTCAACCCATTACGCAAAGTAAGCATTCACAGTATAGTTGATTTTGCCCAGGGGTGCTCTTGGGGGAAAAAAGACCTTGACATATGCAAGTTGTAGTTACCGAGATGTATAGTTCTCCTACAATCAAAGAGCATTCTGAACTCCACCAATGATGGAATGGAACCAAATATGGCACAGAGAACTCCCACGACGAACTGAAAATATATATCAGTGATTGGTTGGGGGGGGGGGGGCACCAAAATACTGTTTGCTTACCGTTGAAAATTACCTAGGGCCGCCTCTGTACGGCCCTTCCACACAGCCCTATATCCCAGAATATAAAGGTAGAAAATCCCACATTATCTAAGTGTGGACTCCGATAACCCAGTTCAAAGTACATATTATGGAATTTTCTGCCTTGATATTCTGGGCTAGGTGGCTGGGTGGAAGGGCCCTAGGATACAAGGAAGATAGTTAAAGAGAAGAGGATTGAAGTTTTCTGTCAGAATGATCCCTGCCAGAAATGGAAAGAATAGGAGGAGCCCTGGTGCTTAAGAGCTGGAGAGGCCTGGAGGCAAGGAGAAAGCTTTAATGAGTGCGTTTGAGTCTGTTTTTTAAAAACTTGCAAATTAATTGAGCCGCAATACTTTTATCAATGTTTTTGCTCCTTCGCTTGCATACATGGCCAGACAATTTGACCTGCAGCTGAATTATTTCCCAGTCCCTAAACTACAATAATTATTTTCACTACAGCCTTATATTTGGCGGCTAATGTACAATATAATTACATCATCATATATCTCTGCTGCTGGGAGGAAGAAGAAGTGCAGGGCTTCTGTGTATAAGCAAAGTGTGCCTCTAGGTGAACTTTCTGAACGTCAGATATAATCTCCTAGGGCCCTTCCACACAGCCCTATATCCCAGAATATCAAGGCAGGAAATCCCACATTATCTGAGTGTGAACTCAGATAACCCAGTTCAAAGCTGATATTGTGGGATTTTCTGCCTCGATATTCTGAAATATAGGGCTGTGTGGAAAGGCCCCTACAATAAAGTTTTAGAGGTGCAACTTAGGCCCTTTGACACAGTTGTATAAAATCCCACATTGAACTGTATTATATAGCAGTGTGGACCCTGGGCCCTTCCACACAGCCCTTTATCCCAGGTTATCAAGGCAGGAAATTCCACAATATTTGAGTGTGCATTCAGATAACCCAGTTCAAAGCGGATATCGTGGGATTTTCAGCCTTGATATGGCTGTGTGGATGGGCCCCCAGAATATAAAGGCACTGGGATTGTGGCGCAGCTGGCTGAGTGTCAGCTGCATTAAGATCACTCTGACCAAAAGGTCATGAGTTCGAAGCCAGCCCGGGTTGGAGTGGGTTTCCAACCAATTGTGTAGCCCTTTGTCGACCTTTGCAACCCGAAAGACAGTTGCATCTGTCAAGTAGGAAAATAAGGTACCACCTTAAAGTGTGGGGAGGCTAAATTAACTAATTTATGAGGCCATAAAAAAGACTTCAGCAAAAGCATGCGGGGAATGCGGAAGTACTTCATCAGTGTCGCAGATGGACGATGAAAGCGACAGCTCCCCTGGCAGCCAGAAAAAGTTAAATAGCCTCTGTCTATGTCTGTATATGTTGTATGTCAAATTGGCACTGAATGTTTGCCATATATGTGCACACTGTAATCCGCCCTGAGTCCCCTGCGGAGTGAGAAGGGCGGAATATAAAAGCTGTAATAAATAAATAAATAAATAAAATCCCACAATATCTGAATTAAGATCAGCCACCTCGTTAATGGCATTTAGGAAAAAACTAAAAACTTGGTTATTTGAGCAAGTCTTCAATTGATTTCGATGTGATGTCTGTCTGACCATGGATTGCAATCAAGGATAACGAATTGGACTACGATTTTAACTATGAGATGTCCCGATCTGTATTGGTGGCCCAATACTATGTATGTTTTTTATATATTTTCTTAATTTTAATCATATATGCTTAAAGTGAATTGTATATTTTAACATGTTGTAAACCGCAATGAGTCGCCGTATAGGCTGAGATATCAGCGGTATACAAGCATACCAAATAAATAAATAAATAAATAAATATAATTCAGTTCAAGGTGGGGTTTTATTCCGCTGTGTAGAAGGAGTCACAGCAGGCCCAGGCCAACTTGGACCTTCTCTTCAAGTGTTTTGAACTCCGAGTCCCAGCATTCCTAAGAGCCTCAGGCCCTTTCCTTTTCCATAAGCGGCTGAGGGGGAAAAGGAAGGGGCCTGAGGCTCTTAGGAATGCTGGGACTTGGGAGTCCAAAACACCTGGATGGCCCAAATTAACCCAGACCTGTGCCAAAGACTTCTCCTCTCTGCCCCAAATGTGAGCACTTAAGCAGCTGGGGGGGAGGGGGAGGAAGGGGCCTGAGGCTGTTAGGAATGCTGGGAGTTGGAGTCCAAGACACCTGGAAGGCCCAAATTTACCCAGACCGGTGCCACAAGTTTCTCCTCCTCTCTGCTCCAAATGGGAGCACTTAAACGGCTGAGGTGGAAAAGGGAAGGGCCTGAGGCTGTTAGGAATGCTGGGAGTTGGAGTCCAAAACACCTGGAGGGAAAGCCCAAGTTGTCCCAGACTTGCGTCACAGGCTTCTCCTCCTCTTTGCCCCAAATGAGGAAGAACTTTCTGACTGTGAGAGCCATTCAGCAGTGGAACTCTCTGCCTCAGAGTGTGGTGGAGGCTCCCTATTTGGAAGCTTTTGAACAGAGGCTAGATGGCCATCTGTCAGGGGTGCTTTGAATGCAATATTCCTGCTTCTTGGCAGGGGGTTGGACTGGATGGCCCAGAGGTCTCTTCCAACTCTGATTCTATGAAATGTGGGCGCTAAGGGGTTGAGGGGGAAAAGGAAGGCGCCTGAGGCTGTTGGGAATTATGGGAGTTGGAGTCCAAAACACTTGGAGGGCCCATATTTACCTATACCGTTGTCACAGGCTTCTCCTCCTCTCTGCCCCAAATGTGAGCGCCTAAGTAGCAGAGGAGGGGGAAAGGAAAGGGCCTGAGGCTGTTAGGAATGCTGGGAGTTGGAGTCCACAACACCTGGATGGCCCAAATTAACCCAGACCTGTGCTAAAGACTTCTTCTCCTCTTTGCAGAAAATGTGATCGCTTAAGCAGCTGAGGGGGAAAAGGAGGAGGCTCGAGGCTGTAAGGAATTATGGGAGTTGGAGTCCACAACAAGTGGATGGCCAAAATTAACCCAGACCTGTGTTACAGACTTCTTTTCCTCTTTGCTCCAAATGTGAGCGCTTAAGCAGCTGAGGGGGAAAAGGAGGAGGCTTGAGGCTGTTAGGAATTATGGGAGTTGGAGTCCAAAACACCTGGAGGGCCCAAATTTACCCATACCGTTGTCACAGGCTTCTCTTCCTCTTTGCCCCAAATGTGAGCGCTTAGTGGTTGAGGGAGGAAAGGAAGAGGATTGAGGCTGTTAGGAATTCTGGCAGTTGGAGTCCAAAACACCTGGAGTGCCCAAGTTTGCCCACACCTTGTACCACAGGCTTGTCTCCCTCTGTGCCCGAAATGTGAGCGCTCTTCCCCTTTAAGAAGCAGCGCCCCCCGCTAACGTCACCGCGAAGGCCTTTTGGAATGTATGCAAATAGACCCCCTTTTCCTGCCTTCTCCCCTCCGGCCAACCGGAAGCCGAGCGGTCTCCGTTCCCCAGCCAATGGTTGCGCGGGAGCTGTGACGTAGCGGAGGGGCGGCGGCCAATGGCGTCCGAGCGGCGCCTCGCGCCATATAAGGAGCGCCCTCGCCATAAAAGGAGATCTCGGCTGGCTTTATATGGGCTTTTGGAGGGAGGGAGGGAGGGAGGGAGGCAGGAAGGAGGGAAGGGGGGAGGAGGAGGCCGGGGAGAGCGGAGGGGGCCGGGCTAGGCCGGGCCAGGCCAAGCCGGGGAGAGCCATGGCAGTGCCGGCCTCGTAGAAGGGAGACCATGTTGCCCAGCAAGGCCGGGAACGGGTCCGCCTCTGCCGCGCTGCCCCGGGGCCCGGGCATGGCCTTGCCGCGGCCGCCCTCCTCCTCCTCCTCGTCGGCCCCGCACCGCCTCCGAGGCCCCGGGAACGGGACCGGGCCGCGCTTCGACCGCGACGCCGTGCTGGGAGGCGCAGGCAGCGGCAGCGAGGGGGACTCCGACTCGGGCGAGGACGAGGAGCCGCTGGGCGACCGCCGAGGGGTGAAGCGGGCGCTCGGGGAGGCGGAGCTGGGCGCCGCGGCGGCGGCAGGAGTGGGGCAAGCGGTGGCGGCGGGGCAGGAGGCGCCCTCCTCGGCTGCCCTGGCTGCGGGAGCCCCCGGAGGGGGAGGAGGAGGGTACAGCGGCGCGGCCAGCGGGGCCAAGCCCGGCAAGAAGACCCGCGGGCGCGTCAAGATCAAGATGGAATTCATCGACAACAAGCTGCGCCGATACACCACCTTCAGCAAGAGGAAGACCGGCATCATGAAGAAGGTGAGAAGCCCCAAGGGCCAGCCAGACGAGCCCCGCTCAGGAAGGCACCGCCAAAGCCCTCCCGGCAGGTGGCCACGCCACAGAACCAGAGTCTATAAAATCGTAGAGTTGGAAGGGGCAACTCAAAACCCTCCTGATAGATGGCCAGCCAGCCTCTATTTTAGGAAGAGGGGAGTTGGAAGGGACACCTAAGGGCCATCCAGTCCAACTCTGTTCAGGAAGCACCATTAAAGCCCTCCCTGCAGATGGCCACTCTGTTTAAACAACTCCCAAGAAAGTGAGTTTGTAAAATCATAAAGTTGGAAGGGACACACAAAGACCAACCCCACTCAAAACTCTCCTGACAGATGGCCAGTTTTTAAACAACTCCAGAGAAAGGAGGATTTATAAAATCATAGGGACACCCAAGGCCAACCCCACTCCAAACCCTCCTGACAGATGGCCAGCCAGACCCTGTTCCGTCAAAACCCTCCTAATAGATGTCCACTGTTTAAACAACTCCAGAGAAAGGAGGGTTTATGAAATCATAGAGTTGGAAGGAACACCCAAGGGGCAACCCCACTTGAAACCCTCCTGATAGATGGCCAGCCAGCCCCTGTTCTATCAAAACCCTTCTAACAGATGGCCAGCCAGCCGCTATTTTAGGAAGAGGGGGCTTCCTAAAATAATAGAGTTGGAAGGGACACCCAAGGGCCATCCAGTCCTACTCCGTTCAGGAAGCACCATCAAAGCCCTCCCTGCAGATGGCCACTCTGTTTAAACAACTCCCGAGAAAGTGAGCTTATAAAATCATAGAGTTGGAAGGGACACCCAAAGGCCAACCCCACTCAAAACCCTCCCAACAGATGGCCAGCCAGCCCCTGTTCCACCATCAAAACACTCCTGACAGATAGCCAGTTTAAACAACTCCAGAGAAAGGAGGGTTTATGAAATCATAGGGTTGGAAGGGACACCCAAGGGCCAATCCCACTCAAAACCCTCCTGACAGATGGCCAGCCTGCCCCTGTCCTATCAAAACTCTGCTGACAGATGGCCACTGCTTACAGAGAAGGAGGGTTTGTGAAATCATAGGGTTAGAAGAGACACCCAAGGGCCAACCCCACTCAAAACTCTCCTGACAGATGGCCAGCCAGCCGCTATTTTAGGAAGAGGGGCTTCCTAAAATAACAGAGTTGGAAGGCACACCTAAGGGCCATCCAGTCCAACTGCATTCAGGAAGCATCATCAAAGCCCTCCCTGCAGATGGCCACTCTGTTTAAACAACTCCTGAGAAAGTGAGCATATAAAATCATAAAGTTGGAAGGGACACCCAAAGGCCAACCCCACTCAAAACTCTCCTGACAGATGGCCAGCCAGCCTCTGTTCCATCAAAACCCTCCTGATAGATGGCCAATGTTTAAACAACTTCCAAGAAAGTGAGTTTATAAAATCATAAGAGTTGGAAGGGAAACCCAAGGGCCAACCCCACTCAAAACCTTCCTGACAGATGGCCAGCCAGCCCCTGATCCATCAAACCCCTCCTGAGAGATGTCCAGGCAGCCTCTATTTTAGGAAGATGATACTTCCTAAAATAATAGAACTGGCAGGGACACCCAAGGGCCATCCAGTCCAACTCCATTCAGGAAGGCACCATCAAAGCCCTTCCTGCAGGTGGCCACTCTGTTTAAACAACTCCAGAGAAGGAGACTTCATACAGTCATAACGTTGGAAGGAACACCCAAGGGCCAACCCCACTCAAAACCATCCTGACAGATGGCCGGCCAGCCAGCCTCTGTCTGAACATCTGCAGAGGAGGCTTCCTAAAATAGTAGAGTTGGAAGGGATACCCAAGGGCCAATCCCACACAGAAAGACATCATCAAAACCCTCCTGGCTGATGACCAGCCAGCAATGTTTAAACAACTGGAGAGAAGGAGACTTCATAAAATCATAGCGTTGGAAGGGTCCTCCAAAGGCCATCCATTCTAACCCTAACATAGGACTCCCTAGAATTAATAGAAATTGAAGGGTCACCTAATGGCCATCCCCACTCAGGAAGGCACCATCAAAGCCCTCCTGGCAGATGGCCACTCTGTTTCAACAACTCCAAGAAGGAGACTTCATACAGTCATAGTGTCATCCCTTTCAACCTCAGCCAGAGGAATCCTTAGAATCATAGCGTTGAAAGGGACACCCAAGGGACAATCCTGTTCAGGAAGACACCATTACCATCAAAACCCTCCCGACTGATGGCCAGCCAGCCTCTGTTCAAACAACTCTACAGAAGGAGAATTTATAAAATCGTAAAGTTGGAAGGGTCCTCCAAATGTCATCCATTCCAACCCCCACCATAGGAATCCCTTGAATCATAGCGTTGGAAGTGGCACCCAAGGGTCAACCCCACTCAGGAAGGTACCATTAAAACCTTTCTGACAGATGGCCAGCCAGCCTCTGTTCAAACAACACAGAAGGAGAGTTTGTAAAATCATAGAGTTGGAAGGGACATCCAAGGGACAACCCCCCTCTGTAAGACACCATTAAAACCCTCCCTGCAGATGGCCACTCTGTTTAAATAACTCGAGAGAAGGAGACTTCATAAAATCATAGAAGGGACACCCAAGGGCCAATCAAAACCCTCCTGACTGATGGCAAGCCGGCCAGCCTCTATTGAAACAACTCCACGGGAGACTTCATAAAATCATAGCATTAGAAGGGTCCCCTAAAGGCCATCCATTCCAACCCCCACCATAGGAATTCTTAGAATCATAGAGTTGGAAGGGACACACGAAGGCCACCCCTTTTCAAGAAGGCATCATCAAAACCCTCCCGACAGATGGCCGGCCAGCATCTGTTCAAACAACTCCAGAGATGGAGGTTTTAACAAATCATAGTTTTGGAAGGGTCCACCAAAGGCCATCCATTCCAACCCCCACCATAGGAATCCCTAGAATCATAGAAATTGGAAGGGACACCCAAGGGCCATCTAGTCCAACTCCACTCAGGAAGATACCATCAAAACCCTCCCAACAGATGACCAACCAGCCTCTGTTTGAAAATCTCCAGAGAAGGGGACGTTATATAATCATAGAGTTGGAAGGGACACACAAGGGTCAACCCCATTCAGGAAGACACCACTGAAACCTTCCCAACAGATGGCCAGCCAACCTCTGTTCAAACATTTCTAGAGAAGGAGACTTTATAACATCATAGAGTTGGACGGAACACCCCAGGGCCAACCCCATTCAGAAAGACACCAACCAAACTGTCCTGACAGATGGCCATCCAATCCCTATTTAAACATCTCCAGGGTAGGAGACTCCACTACACTCATAAAATTATAGAGTTGGAAGGGTGCCCCAAAGGTCATCCATTCCAACCCCTACCATAGGAATTCCTAGAATTCTAGAGTTGGAAGGGACACCCAAGGAAGACACCATCAAAACTCTCCTAACAGATAACCATCTAGCCTCTCTTTAAAAGCTCTAAAGAAAGGAGACTTCATAAAATCATAGAATACTAGAGTTGGAAGAGAATACAAGGGCCATCCAGTCCAACATTGTTCAGCTGTGTAGGAATACACAATCCAAACCCTCCTGACAGATGGCCATCAAGTATCTTAAAAAACTTCTAAAAGAGACTTCATTAAATCATAGAACCCTAGGCTTGGAAAAGTACTCCAAAGGCCATCCAGTCCAACTCTCATCATAGGAATACACAATTAAAGCACTCCTGACAGATTCCCATTAGCTCTCGAGCTAACATAGCCAATCAGGGATTATGATAGTTGTAATCAAACAATATTTAAAGAGCCGAGGCAGGATGGCCATCTGTCAGGAGTGCTTGGTTGTGTCCTGCAATCAAAGTACTTTTGACAGCTGGCCATCCAGCCTCTGCTGATTAAAACACCCAAAGAAGGAGACTCCATCATGTTCGACAAAAGGGTTTGGGAAAAAGAACTCTTGTCTGTTTGTGACAGTTGACCACCTTGAATGTCCTTGCAGCTTCAAAGCCTGGTTGGTTGCTGCCTGGGGGATCCTGGGAGGTGTTTACTGGCCCTAATTGACTTGTATCTGGAATTCCCTCGTTTTTTGAGTGTTGCTCTTTGTATGACGAATTGCAACATCCACACTTGCCTCCAACAGACAAGAGTTCTTTCTCCCATCCTGGACATTATTCCACAGATATATAAATCCCACTTGCCTAGTTTCCAACAGTCCTCACAACCTCTGAGGATGACTGCTATAGATGTGGGCAAAATTTCAGGAGAGAAGGCTTCTGGAACATGGCCAGACAGCCCGGAAAACTCACAGTGATTCTGGCCATGGAAGCCTTCAACAACACAAAACAAAGATTGTCTATTGAAGTCCTTCTGAGTTTAGTCCCCAAAGGGGTAGCGTGTGAAGTGGAAGTGACCACAAGGGCCGTCCAATCTCCTGCTGTGCACGAACTCACAATTAAAGCATTCCTGGCAGATGGCCACCCAGTCTCTGCTTAAAAGCCACGCCAAGGTAGCTCTTACCCACAGGAGGATTTTCCTAATGTCTTGGTGGAATCTTTTCCTGCAATTTCAACCCCTTGCTCAGTGTCCTGGAATCTCATTGGTTTTTTTGGCTGCTGCATGACACCATTTATTTACTGTATTTTATTTATTTACTGTATTTTTATCCCACTTTACCTCAACCCCAAAAGGGACTCAGAGCGGCTTCAAAATTGGCAATAATTCAATGCTACATTAACATAAGACAAAATACAATATACAAAATACAAGAAAGTCATAACATATAAATAAGTACATTAATAAGCTGTTAAAAGAATACACACAGACTGAAAAATCATAATCCAGAAGTTGTTCCAATCACATTGCAATTCACTTTGTAGCTGCCTTGTGGTACTTTCCATATGCTTGGTTCCATAGGTAATGTAAAGGTAAAAGTTTCCCTTTGATGTTCAATCCAGTTGTGTCTGACTCTGGGGGTTGGTGCTCATCTCCATTTCTAAGCCAAAGAGCTGGAGTTGTCTGTA